GCACGCAGGGGTTGTGTCTAGCTGTTTCAGCTTGCCCTACGGTATATGGATTTAAAGAAGCATTTGTTCTGGATGTGTTAAAACAAGTACGGAGTAACGTATTGAAAAATAGTTTATGTTATTGGGGATTGGACCCCGGGACGTGTGCAGTGAACGACATCTCCAGCCTTTTTAATTTTTCAGTTTTTCAAATTTTTATTTTGAGACAGGGGCTCACTAAGTTGCCCAGGCTGCGCCGGAATCTTCGCTCTCCTCCTGCTTCAGCTTCCCAAGGTGCTAGGATTCGAGGTCGCGGCCACCAGCACAGCGTCAAAGCAGTTCTCTTATATTATGGAGATTGCGCAGAAATGCGTCACTCTGTAGTGGAAGGGTATTCAACCACAAAGAGAAAGTCATGTGCCACAATGTGGAGTAACCTTCAAAAAAAAAACTGTTGAACACAGTAATGCCACACACTGTGCCTTCTTTCATAGGCATGTCCTGGATAGGCAGATCTGTAGAGGCTAGTGGGAGAGTTAGAGGCTGTGAAGGGATTATGGAGTCCCTTTGGGGGACGATGAAAATGCTCTGAAATGGAATTGACGGTTGTATACCACCGAATATTCAAAAAACCATTTATTTGTATAGCATAAATGAATTATGTGGTGTATTATGCCCCAAAGCTGTTAAAGAAAAATAATACACCACACACACTTTATCCTGAGCCTTTGCAGTCTTTTTCTCTTCGCTTTTATTATTTGTTTTTGTTTTTTGAGCCAGGGTCTTGCTGTATAGTCCCACTTGGCCTTAAACTCACTAAGTAGCCAGCCTGGCCTTGAACTTGTGATCCTTATGCCAGCCTCCCAAGTTCTAAACCTTAGATCACCATGACCAGCTTTGAGATTTTTTTCTGTTCCTCAGATGTGAGTGGCGCATTAGAAAAACAATCTTAGTTTTCTGTGTTTGTTTTTTTTTTCCCCCGTTCTGGAAGGCTGTGGGGATACACATAGAACAGAAAAGACCCCATGTTCTCCTGCCCTTGCCCCCAGGGATCACTGTCAGTACCTCTGTAATCAGTTTCAGAAAGGTTGCTGTGTTCCCATCCCTGGTCTGAAGGAGTGCGGGGCTGAGTCCTTTGATGGGGAACACCCCCAGGCCTGCTGCCACCAGCCACGTCTCACTAGGGCCTCCTGTCAGTGGGCTGCCCAGGCCGAAGCTCACCCAGCCCAGGGGCACATTGTGGTTTGCCCATTACTCTGCACATGCTGCTCTTTGTTCCCAAGGGCCGTGCTGTTCTCCGCCATTTATCCATTCCTGTTCTTGTGTTGGTGGGTACTTGGGCTTCCTGGTTTGGACTATTCTGAACACAGCTGCTGTAGAGTTTTTTTTCTTTCTTTCTTTCTTTCTTCTTTTTTTCTGGTACTATGAATCAAACCAGGGACCTTGCACTTGCCAGGCAGGTGCTGGTGCCACTGAGCTATATCTGGCCCTGTTATAGCACAGTTCTCCTTGAAATGTTTTTGTAGCTATTTTGGGGTTTTTTTTTGGGGGGAGGGGTTAAATGCCTAGAATAGTATACTTACAGAGTCCTGGAATGTATGATGCTTAATTTGTAAAACTACTAGCCCAGTGAGAGGCACATGCCCGTAATCCCAGCACTGTGGGAAGGGGAGGCAGGAGCCCAAATTTGAGTCCAGGCTGGGCCATACAGTGTCTGTCTGTCTGTCTGTCTCTCTCTCTCTCTCTCTCTCTCTCTCTCTCTCTCTCTTTCTCTCTTTTTTTTTTTTTTTGATGGTACCTTGGATTGAACTCAATACCTTGAGCTTGCCAGGCAAGCATTTACTCCACAGATGCTGTCTCAAAATCAAAAAGAAAAAAAAGGGTGAGATAGTTTAACAGACTCAGCACACCTCCTTAGGCAAGCTCATGCAAGTGCTCAGGGACCTCGGTTTGATCCCCAGCACCACATGCCACACCAGCCCTGCCCTCAGGCACATACCTGTAATCCCAGTGCTGGGGAGGCTGAAAACAGGAGGATCATGAGTCCAAGCTGCATGGCTCAGTAGAATAAACACTTGCCTGGAAAGCACAAGGGCCTGAGTTCAATCCCTAGTTCCGCGAAAAAAAAAAAAAATAATAATACAAATAATTTTAAAAAAGGACTTAAAGGGCTGGGGAGATGGCTCAGTAGAGTAAGCACCTGCCTGGCAAGCGCAAGAGCCTTAGTTCAATCCCTGGTTCTGAAAAAAAAAAAAGGACTTAAGAGTCTCTGGGTCTGATTCTCAGTACCACCAAATGAATAAATAAATACAATTTTTTAAAAAAATTTATTTATGTGTGTGTGGCCAGCTCAGCCCACCAGGGGGCGGGGCTGGCTGGCATGTGGTTCTGGGGGATTGAACCGCGGTCCCTGTGCTTTGCTAAGCTTGTTCTAAGTAGGTGCTTTAGACCACTGAGCCATCTCACCAGCCCCAATAAATACAATTTAAAACTTGTTACCTAGTCCTCCAAAGCCATTATAATCCTACTAGGAATGTAGGTAGGCCAAGGGCTCTGTTGCTCAGGGAGATAGCCCAGTGTCATAAGCGCCTTCCTGGCTAGCTCAAGGTCCTGGGTTAAAGCCCCAGGAATTCCTGTTGTCCATTTCCTGGCCAGAAGTTTGGTTTTTTCCAGTCTTTTTGATTTGGGGAGTTTTGAGCAGACGTGTTGCATATTGGTGGTGAAAAGGAAGCCTGTGTGTGCTTGGTGATGGAGAGCTTGTGGGCTTGGGGCTCCAGCGGCGCATGGCTCTGAGGGGTGGGGCGGGGTGGGGATTATCCTGGGCACTTGCTTATGGGCTGGGGGGCTGTGAGTGGAGCCTGTTCTGGGAGAGCTGGCACGGCTGCACTGAGGGGCTGTTAAAGCCCCCAGGACAGTAGAGGCGAACCTAGGGCATGAATGCCGCAGCGGGCTGGCCAAGTGAGCGAAAGCTCTGCAAGTCTCTCGTCACAGCCCAAAGGTGTTGCAACGCCCAGTGTGTCTGGAGTCTGTTGCCTGCTGTCTTCCGAACTAGGCTAATGTAGACTCATACCTGGAGTCACTGATTCTATCAATCACTTATCGCATGAAAGGTAAAGTACTTCATTCTTTCCCTAAAGAAAAACTTTCTGAAGGGCTGGCCAAATAGCTCAGCAGATTAAAGCGCCTGCTTAGGCAGAGTACAGCAACTGGGGTTCCATCCCCGTTGTGTAGTGCTGGCAATTGAGACTGGGTGTGGTGACACACACCCTGTAATCCCAGTGCCTGGGAGGCTGAAAAGCAGGAGGATCACTATGAGTCCAATCTATGTGGTAAGACCCTGTAGACCCTGCAGACCCTGTCCTAAATACATTAAAAAAAGAAAAAAAAAATTCTGACTCAGGCATATATTTTGCACTTGAAAGTGAAAACTGTCCCTGAGAGTCCCAAGGAGATGGCCTTTTTTAAAACATGCTAGTCATTAATGAGGTAATACTGGCATTTGGTAAATGTGAAAGGTTTAAAAGTTGTCTTAGTTGTGTTAATATTAAACGTATGAACTTCTGAATTTCAGAAAAGTTGGAGAAGATGAGGGATCATGAAAGAAAGGAGGAAACTTTCACCCCAGTGCCCAGCCCTTACTACATGGAGCTCACCAAACTCCTGCTCACTCAGTGAGTAGTGCTGGCTCAGGCCAGCCCACGGTGCAGTCAAGGCTCCCTTCTACGCAGCCTGCCCGCCCACCCGCCCACCTGCCCGCCTGCGGCTTTCCATCGCACTTGCATCGGTCCCTGGAGGTCATTTCTGTACACATAGCATTGCTGCCCCTCCTGCCCCACTGTGTGTTGTTTTCATCTTTCCTTCATCCCCAGTACCTCTCTGGTTCTTTCATCAGTTGAGCCCCACCTTGATATTGGACCCAGGGTGTCTTTCTTCATTACCCACAGTTGTTTAGTGCAGCTCCGATCCTTGCTTTGAATGTGGGCTCTGTGTTTTTTGGTTTGTTTTTTTGAGACCAGATCCCACTGTGTGCTCCAGGTTGGCCTTTCTGTACAGCCCATACTGGCCTCAAATCCTTGGTAATCCTGCTGCCTCAGCTTTCCTCAGGCTGGGATCACAGGCACGCACCACCATACCCAGCAAGATGAAAACAACACACAGTGGGGGCAGGAGAGGCAGCAATGTTTCTTTTGCAAAAGGGAGTGGGGAGCTGCCATTTGCCTGATGTTGTCCTGAGCTGGGGAAAATTCTTCTCAGGCCAGAACTGTAGCTGCCCCGCAGGCCACCTGCCTGCTCCCCTGCTGCCTGCTCTGTGTGTGCTAGCTAGTGTGGCCTGCCGAAGGTAAAGCTACTATGTGGCTTCCTGGCCAACGTCTTGGAGACTTTAGGGTTCCAACTGGCATTCAGAAATTATTTCTCTTTCCCACCTCACAGCTCTCCACAGTGATCCCTTCCTCCCACCTGTGGGTCCCAGGCTTTTATGGTGCTCTTATTTCTTTTTTTGCGGAACCGGGGATTGAACTCAGGCCCTTGAGCTTGCCAGGCAAGCCCTTCTACTGAGCTATCTCCCCAGACCCTGTGGCGGTCTTTTTATTTCTGCAGTTGCTTTTCCTTTGGCTTTTGTTTTGAGATAGGCTCTTGCTGTGTTGCTCAGGCTGGCCTTGAACTGGGCTCAGGTGACCCTCACGCCTTAGCCTCTCGAGTTGCTGGGACCCCAGGTACGCACCACCATGCCCGCCCTGGCCGCCCCCTTCACCGTTGTGGGTCCTGTGACCTTGCATGTACTGCCACGAGGCCACTTCCCGCTCCCAGTCCTCGTGCTCAGTGTGGAAAGTCTCCGCAGGGTCCCTCCTGGCTGACGCGTGCTAACTGTCCTGCAGCTTTGCACACCACCGTCATGTTTGCTATAGTTGTAGTTTTCTATTCATTTTCTGTGCCATCTCTCTCTCTCTCTCTCTCTCTCTCTCTCTCTCTCTCTCTCTCTCACACACACACACACACACACACACATACACACACAATCCTGTTGTAGATGGGCAGGGACTGGGTCTCGAATGCTAGTGCGCACATTTGTTTAATGAATGTGTGGAATTTGTAGAGGACAGGCAGGTGTGGACAGTCTTGCCTGGGAGATACTTGGACTATAACTTATAAAACGTCAAGCTCTTTTTTTTTTTTTTTTGGTGGAACCGGGGATTGAACTCAGGCCCTCAAGCGCTTATTCTGCTGAGCCATCTCCCCAGCCCCAAAGTTGCCAAGCTCTTGAAGCTCCCTGAACATCTGGTTGCTGAGCTGCAGAGCAGAACCAGCAGTGAGCGCTGAGATTGTGCTGTGTACTGCCTGCATAGAGTGGAGGAGGGGTGAAGGCCCCAGATGCATGGGCAGCGGAGCAGACTTCGGGGCCTCACACGTCGCCTCTCCTCGATAGAGCCTGAGCACACAGTACACCAAGCGTCGCACCACGCGCTGGGGGAGACGAAATCCCATCAATAGGCTGCAGGGTGGCCAGGGCCATGCCCATCTGTGTGGCCCAGCAGGGACGGTTCAGAAGTGACTTGGGGGTGCAGGCTCTGGAGGGAGGGCAGAGAGGCATAGCGGGGGTGTGGTGGTGGGGGGGAGTGGCATACCTGGGAACACAGCAGGAGCAGGTGCAGGAAGGGGGGGTGTCGTCAGAGGGCTTTGAGGCGGCCATGGCAGTGGGGACCATGCCTGTGAAGGGCGAATCTGAAAGCAGGCGAGATAAGGAGTTCCCCGGGCGAAGGCCTGTCCAGTGTTAGCTTCTGCAGTTCAGTGTATGTGTTCTTTACATCAGAAACCATGTTCTATGGTACATCTGACCAAGGGACCCAATTTTATCTTTGTTCTCCTGTTCAGTTGACAAGGACCTGGGGTCCTTTGTTCTTTAGCCTGCTGTTCCCTACATAAATTTTATATCACAGATCTGCCACCTACCAGTCCCGAGTTAATTATTGCATGTGGAGAGAAAGAATCCCTAGCTTAGAGTGCCTAGTGATGGACTGTTTGCTTCTGCTTTTATTTCTCGTGTGTCTGTCTTCAAAGGCTGGTCTGAAATATCTCAAAGAAAAGCTGTTACTGCTCTCCTGACTCTAAACTTTCACTCAGAATTTCACTGTGTAGGTATATATTATCTCATACTGATGTGTGAGATCTGTAATTTCTTCTGTGGTTTTCGTAACTTACTCTTTGCATCACTAGGGATTACACCCAAGGCCTTCACACTGAGCTGTGCACCCAGCCCATTCTGTTTTGTGAGACAGGGTCTCACCAAGTTGCCCAGGACGGGCTGAATTTGTGTTTTTTGCAGGGGGGGAGGTGGCAGTGCTGGGCCAAGTGCTGCACACTGCGCTGAAGGTTTCCTTTCCTAGTGAGTTTGGAGCTGGATTCCTGAGAAGGCATCACTGTAAAGTAGAAGACGTTACGGCCCCTCAGCCAGCCCGTGAAGCCAGTTCTGGCTGAAGTTCTGCTGCTGTCCTGGGAAGCAGGCTGGGAAACTGTCAAGTTGCTCATCTTTATTTTTATGTTTTTGCAGAACCAGGGATTGAACTCAGGCCCTTGCACTTGCCAGGCAAGCGCTTATTCTACTTATTCTACTGAGCTATCTCTCCGGCCCCATCACACTTTAAAAAAATGTTTTTTTTTTAAATAAATGTATTTAGTACAGGGTCTCCAGGGGCTCACTACAGATTGGACTTGCAGTGGTCCTCCTGTTTTCAGCCTCCCAAGCGCTCGGACCCAGTACCTCACTCCTGGCTGAACAGCAGCTGGCTGTGGAGCAAGAACAGCTTGGGGCCCATCCCTGTTGTGTGTCACTGGCAGTAGACTTACCTGCAAAAATCTTTGTGTCTTAACAGTAAAGGCACAAACCAGACTTTTTCTGAGATGTTGTTTTTAAGTAGCATTTTTTAAAAAGTTCCCTTCTACCTGGTGCTGTGTTAGCTCACTGTGTCCTTACTTGATTCATCCCATTTCTTTCAGTGCTTCAGACAACATCCCCAAAGCAGATACGATCCGCACCCTGATCAAAGATCTGTGGGACACACGCATGGCCAAGCTCCGGGTGTCTGCCGACAGCTTTGTGCGGCACCAGGAGGCGCATGCCAAGGTAGGCCTGGCTCGGTAGGGCTCACAGCACTGCTTGCTCAGGCTGCTGCACATAGGGTAGGGAGGAGCTGTGCTTTTATTTTTTTAAAACCACAATGTCCCACCCCTGCTTTATGTGTGTGTGTGTGTGTGTGTGTGTGTGTGTGTGTGTGTGTGTTGTGGCCAGCTCAGCCCACCAGGGGGCGGAGCTGGCTGGCATGTGGTGCTGGGGGATTGAACCGCGGTCGCTGTGCTGTAGCTAAGCTTGTTCTAAGTAGGTGCTTTAGACCACTGAGCCATCTCACCAGCCCCAGCTATGCTTTTAGAACAGTCACGGCAGATGGTTCTGTTGTGCAATAGATCGTGCACTGGATTTCTAAAACGGTTATGGAGGGCTGAGTAGAGCTCAGCCATGACATACCAGCCTTGGAGCGCGTGCCCAGCTCTGCCACCACAACAGAACAATCATTGGCTTCGTCTTATTCAGCCAAGTTTCGCTCTCCTCAGAATCCAAAGCCCCTTGGTCAGTGGGTATCTTCTATTGCAGCTGGATAACTTGACCTTAATGGAGATCAACACCAGTGGGGCCTTCCTCACAGAGGCGCTCCGCCACATGTACAGGCTGCGCACCAACCTCCAGCCTTCTGAGAGCGCCATGTCGCAGGACTTCTAGAGGGCCTTGCCTCTGCTGCGGGGAGGCTTGCTGGGCAGTGAGTGCGCGCTCTGGATGTGACAGAGGGACTCATGGATCTAGAGTTCTGCACACATTTTTGAACATGTGGAAAAGGTGTGGTGGTTCTAGGAGTGAGTGTATCAAGCAGGAGAAAGCGGCAAGCTTGTGACTGCTCAGTCTGGGACGCAGCTCCTCTGGACAGTCAGTGCCCCCTCGCCATTCCTGAGCTGGCTCTGCTTCTGCGGTGCGAAGGAAGGAGCTTTAAACAAGCAAGTTCTCCCCAGCAGGCTGTGGTCTCCTGCGTGGACATGCCCGGCGGTGACCGGTGCAGACACACAGGAGTGGGGGTGTGGCCAGGAGCGTTTCCCTTTCTTGATCTTGGTTTCTTGGCTAAAGTTAGAACATTGTAGGCTTGGCTCACACACGACAGCTGGCGAAAGGTTGGCGGTGCTGCCTGTTGTCATCCGAGGCTCAGTCCACAATAAAAATGTGCTCAGCTGGACTCTGTTGGGTTTGACCTTAACTCCCAAGTGAAAGGTGGTCAGGATGCCGTGGTGCACTACACTGCCAGCTGTGTCAGTCAGCTGCAGCTGCGGCCCGGCATTCAGGTGGATGGGCAGGCTTGTTTTCTTCAAGAGGGTGGTTGGGCAAAAGCGAATTCGGTGTTGAGTAAGCAAGATGGAGAGCTAGGAAGAGCTCCTGCTGGGTTCAGGGGTGGTGCTCTTAGTAGACAGCAGTAGCTCAAGGAAACATTTCCCCAAGAGAAAATTGCTCCAGTTACTCAGCTGTATCTGTAATTATTTGGTCCCTTACATAAATTACCTTGAGAGAGGAAGTGATCATACAGTGCCATAGAATGAGCAGAACATTCTATCACTAGCTTCTTTTTGATGTAGCACCATGTCATAAGCTACGGTGGGTATCTTGGGAGCTGCATGCGCAGGCGCAGTCCACTCAGTGCAGAGCAGCCTGGATTTGCCCAAAGTGACTCAGGCTGCTGCTCTGCTCCCGCTGCTACCCTGTCTCCAGCAAGCAGATGCCGGTTATGGTTTGAACACCAGGTGGCCAAATCCAGAGGATCAGGACCAAAAGATGGAGTCTCTGTAAGTTATGGTGCTGTTCAGAAAGTGCAGGTGGTTGGACTTGCTTTCTCACCTACTCTCACTCTGAATCCTTCAGATTGCATGGGGGCGTCTTAGCACAAAAGCGTTCATCAGTAGGAAGGGGCGGGACCGTGCCGGGCGGCTCACCTGTACGGCTGTGCTCCCTGCACTGCACGCCTTCCTGTCTCACCTGTGGTGCAGGGTGCTTAACCTTGTGTGTGTGGAGGGGGTACTGGAACAGAAAAGATTTTCCTCTTAACATGATTTAAGAAGATTTTATTTTTGGGATGTTGTCAGAAATTACAGCAATATATTCATAAATACCTAATTACTACATTCAACAAATAATATTACAATACAGTTAATTCAAACAAGTACACTTAGAACAGGTTTAATTTCACAGCATCTAAACTGCCCCCAGAGTGACTGAGGTACTGCTATCCTCCCTGCCACCCGAGTCTGGGCTTGCTGTCCTAGCAGTGAAGCACAGGGCACACACAAGTGACACAACCAGTGACTATGTCTTCCTCAGGTCAAGGCAGAGTAGGAGTTTAAGCACTGGATCAGAGTTCGGGGACAAGGCTACAGAAGTCGGAGTCAAAGCTTGGCTACTGCAGTCTAGACTGCTGCTGAGTGGCTAATATACACCTTGAGGAGGACCGGGGCTTGTGCTAACGTCTCCACCGTGTGGTGGCTCCTTGGAACTGTTTATGAGACGGGAAGGCGGTCTGGTTTAAATTCACTTGAGAATTTAACTTGAGATTTGGTGGGACTGGGAGCTACCCCAAGATTCCATTCTGCTACAAGCTTAAGATTTCCTGTTTTAAGTCTTCGCTGCTCAAGGTGCAGGCTCCTATTTAACACTCTGAACATCCTTAGGGGTACAATCTAGTAAGAGGTTAGTCCCGATTGAAGGTTTTAAATTTTGAAGATCTCACCATGGTTATTTTACTGTATCTTGTCGTTTTGGCTCTGATTATGAAACAGGGCAACTTGTCCTAAAGATCTGATTGAATGTGGAACCACACTGTTGAGCATCTGGCCATGTCCCTCACGAGTTTAGTGAACTGCCTGTCAGGACAGGTGGCAGCTGTCACTTCAGGTGACGTGGGAAGACACAGCTGCGAAGGACTGAGGTATTCATGTAAATACTGACACACAGGTTGCATCGTCGGTTCTAGTAGGTCTGATGTACTGTTCAACTGTCTTAAACTTAACGAGCAAAAGCTGAACAGAAAGCTCCAGAGGCTGTGTTCTGTCAACCGCAGGCGGATGTAATGTGTTCTCGGGAAACCTGCCTGTTGGACGGGAAGGCCGCCACTGCAGGCTGTCTGGCGGTGTGCTGCTAGACCCCACCTCTCCCATGGCTGTGTGCTGCCTGGCTGCTGGGTACTTGTGTTCTGATTGTCATTCCTGTTATTTCTTGGGCACACGGGACGGGTATTTGGGCATTGCCACTGGTGGGCGAATGGGGAGGCAGGACAGTAGAGGAGCTCAAGAGCAAGCAGGGCCATTTCTATTTGGAAGGAAGCAAGCGGTTGTTGCTGGAACAGGGACTTGGCTTCCGTGTGGCCAGCAGCCCTTTCTGAAGATGCACTGTTCTGCGTGCCACCCTGTGACAGGCCAGCCAACCAAGGGGCAGTCCCTGGATCTGGGGCAGGGCTGTGCCAATCTTGCCACCAAGTCATTGGAGCCACTTTGCCTAAGCTGACAAGCAAACACATCAGATATCTATCACCTGCTGCGGGAGGCAGCCCACAGAGGGAGGGAGAGACCGTGAGCAGGGATGTGCTGTCATTCTGCCCTGATGGCCTCAGTGAGGTGCCCTCACCTATGGCACTCAGTATCTTTGCAGGGGATGAAGCCCCAGCCCGGCCTTTTAGTTCTCTTCCGCTTGTTACTGGGTAAGAAGGCGCTTACTGACTGGCGGCACTTTCTGATCCTTGGCAGGCACACGAAGCACACTGTGTGGGCACAGATAAGCGACATGCTGCTGGCTGCCAGCTGCCACTTGCACGGCAAGGGCGGGAGCTCAGGGCATGCAGCACAGCAGCAACAAGTGTCCAGGAGAGGCCAGCTCATGCCCCCTCCCTGGCCCTGGCCCGTTCCTGGCCTCTGGTGCAGGCCCAGCCCCACTACAGGTGCCTTCCTGACCTACAGGAGACGCCACCTGACAGAAAAACCCAGGTTGGAGCAGCGGTCCCAGTGCTCACCAGCCGAGTGGCCATTTCTGTGCCTGTCATGGTCTGGGTCAAAGGAGGCTTCAGCTCAGACACTGTTGATCCTACTTGAGGCTTTTACAAAGCTTTGCATCTAAATAAAGCTTCTAAAGTTTCTACTCTGCACCTGTTCTCAGGCATCTCCGAATTCTCGCACAGAAATTGTTCACTTCCTAAAAGGTTCTTTTAGAAAGCCTCAGGGCTCTGTGTGCATGTGACTGTCACACAGGGTCTGTCTAGTTCCGGGCACAGACTGTCCCCTCACTTGGCAGCAGCGGGCTCTATTTGCTATCACCTTGTCCAAGTGTGGGGGAGGGGGTAAAGGAGGAGGTAAGTAACGCATGGCTTTCTACATCGGTTTCTGGTGCAATTCAAATTAAAAATGAAGTGATCGCATAGGCGCCAGTGGTAAGCTCTTTTACTTTTCTTCTTCTTTAATTTTTAAAAACTTCAATATTTTAATGTCCTGACCAGCAGCAGTACAAACACTAAAAGCAAGGGTTCTTTTCTTTTCCCAGGAAAAACAAAGAAAACCCCAAACAGGAAAAACAAACAAAAATCCCCCAAACCACATATTAAAAATGGCAGGCTTTTTATAACAATTAAAAGTAATAAAAACATACAAAACTTTGTTTTTTAATATATATACACAGTACAAGGCTGAAGCACCTTTGACTTTTCTCTCAAAATTTACGTTTGTATGAAAACACTCCCCCACTGCGGTAACAGGCGGGGCGAGTCTGTATACACAGGGCTCTGTACATTCTCCCCCGCAGAGTAGTAGAAAGGTACCTTTAGTCTGCGGATTCATTTTATCTTTAGGGGTGAGAGCTTTTCCAGGGAAAAGCCTTGGATTGCTGTGTGCTCCTAGGACTGGTGGTTTTAAAGATCATTTTGCAGAAAAATAACTGAAAAAAAAAAAAAAAAAAAGCCCTTTACTTACAACGCACCCGACCTTCTTTCCAGCTGGAGTCAGTCTCGCTCCTGGGCAGAAATGAAGCCAGCCCTTCACTGCGGCAGGAGCAAACCTGGCTCTGGGGCACAGCAGCATGGCCGCAGGAGGAACAGGCCCCACCGGCCAGATCTGGCCCACGCGCCAGACCACCGGGTGATCCGGCTTTAGTGTTGGCAACAGAGCCTTCGCTTTCAGGTTGAAAGTGATGTGGGGGAGGCAAGAACTGACCACCTTTAGGAAACGGGTCCTACACTGGCTGCTCACTGAGTGGTACCACTGATCAACTGCACTGAAGTCGAGCCGAGTTCGTTCGTTTGCTTTTTTCTGGAGCCTGGAATCCTTTGCTTCATGCATGGCACATTCTCATTTTTTAAGCTTCAAACCTCCCGGTGAAAAATATTAAATATTCAAGGTAATAAAATAGATAATATTTCTATACTATAGGTTCGGCCTAGTGCAAGGGAAACCGTCACCTCGGATAACCCTTGAAGTAACCCCTAGGCCAATGCATTGCAGGCAAGGCAAGGCACTTCCGTAAGTGGTCCAGTTCCGCCTGGAGCCGCTCCCGTTCAGAGACAATCTTCTGCTTCTGGCTTCTCAACTCCTGGGGAGAGGGCAACTCGAATCAGAAAAGAGCACCTTGTCCAGTGTGGCACAAACGCACACTTGGACAACATCCCCTTCTCAGCCTGGTCCTCCAGGGTCTGGACTCTGGCAACCCCAGCTTTTAAAGCACGAGCACGGCCATGTCAGCTCAAGACCAAGTTCACTGAGGAGTGCTCTGAGCCCTGTCCACATCCCTGCTGCCTGGAGTGGGACAATGCTGCGGGTAGGCAGTAGGGGCCTGGGTAGCCTCCAGAGCACCCCATCTCCAAAAAATCCCCTCCCAAGCACACCACAGAGGAGACAGACAGGAATTCCCCACGGGGAAAGAAAGGATCCACATCTCACAAGCCGGGATAGGGGCTGGTGAGATGATGGCTCAGTGGTCTAAAGCACCTACTTAGAACAAGCTTAGCAAAGCACCGGGACCGCGGTTCAATCCCCCAGCACCACATGCCAGCCAGCCCCACCCCCTGGTGGGCTGAGCTGGCCACACACACAAATAAATAAACAAATGAAAAAAAACCCCACAAAACTGGGATAATCAACTGAAGCCTGCAGTGCCCCAAGACTAAGGCTCCCTCCCTCCCTCTCACATGCCGGCTCACCGCCATGCTGTGGGACAGCTGCTCTGCAGTCACGCTGAGGCTGTAGTGTCGGGCCTCCAGCCGCCGGCACTGGGTCTGCAACACCTGCCGCTCCAGGTTTTGCTCTGAAAGAAGAGGTGATGAGCTCGCATCTGGCCAGCCAGCGCCCCGCAGCCTCTCCTGTGGACCACTGTACCCCATCCTTCCCCCCCCCCTTAGTTTTTGGTTTTCTGAGACTGAATCTCCAGCCTGCAGCTCTTTTATTCGTACCAGTAACTACACGAGCATTGCTAATTAAAGCTAACCAAGAATAATGACGTCTTGAATCAGAAGGTCATTTAAGACAAGTTAACACCTTAAATACAGCTTTTCAAATGAAACACAAAGTTAGGCTTTCCATTTAAGCTACTAAAACACCTGGATAACTTGGGGACTGAATAATCAAATCTCTGCCTCATCAAAGATGCCAGGTCCATTTCTGGTAGGCGAGATTTTTTTTTTTTTAATTGTCTTTTAGAGACAGGGTCTCCCTATGCAGTTCACGATGGCCTTGAGCTCACTTTGTAGCCCGGGCTGGTCTCAAACTGGCAGCGACCCTTGTGCTTCAGCCTTGTGAGGGCTGGGTTTACAGGTGTGCCTCACCATGCCCAGCTAAGAGAGGAACTTTAATAAAACTGTCAAGGATGAAGCCCTGTATAATGGCTTTCAGAAGGAAAAACAAGGCTACCTGCCTGGTAGTTCAGGCTGGCCCTGAATTCACTCACGTAGCCCAGGCTGCTCGGGTGTGGCGTGATCCTCCTGCCTCAGTACCGACTGCTGCTCACACCAGGGTTTAATTAAAACTACCTTGATGGGGGCTGGAGAGATGGCTCAGTGGTCTAAAGCACCTACTTAGAACACGCTTAGCAAAGCATCAGGGACCGCGGTTCGATCCCCCAGCACTACATGCCAGCCAGCCCCGCCCCCTGGTGGGCTGAGCTGGCCACACACACCACACACACACACACACACTCTCTCTCTCTCTCTCTAATAAATAAATAAATAAATAAAATTAAAAAAAAACATAAAACTACCTTGATGGCCACATGAAGTGCCGCAGCGCCAGTGTCTGCGGATGCTTCCCCTGAAGCCCAAGAAACACTGACCAGATCGGATGAGGATGGAGCAACATCAGGAGGAGGGGAGCTCGGCCAGTAACCAGTATGGAAGCTACAGGGCCAGAGAGCGCACAGTGGCCTACATGCCTGCCTGGCAAGTGCAACCTCCTGAGTTGGATCCCCGGTACAAAAAAAAAAAAAAAAAAAAAAAAAACCAACAGAAACTCAGATAAACTTGGCGAATAAAA